CACTGGTGTCAAACATACGGTCCGCGGGCCGTTCAATCAGGCCCCACAGGATAATTTAAAAGTGAAGAAAATGCATAAAAAACACAGAATAAATATTTTTAATAAGGTGCAATTCATTGAGTATCCGCTAGGGGACACTGTTTTGATCAGAGAAGAAGACAACAGCAGCCTCAGTCCATCACTGAGACAGACCCATGACAGCAGACGCTATCAATAGCACTCTCACATTTACACATTTAATAGCACGCTCCTTAGTTTGTAAGGTGTAGGCAGGGATTACATTTAGATTTTATATGCACGTGTAAATGGTTTAAAACTTCCTTTCTTTATAAATCTCGTTTAATCTTAAAGTGCATTACTATATTTTTCAAAACCAATTACTTGTTAAAGTTTGTACAATCAGTGGGATCAGTTGCAATGCATATATGTGAATGATAAAAGTAAATTGCACATTTGTCGAAGGAAATGTAAGGTGCTTCATGAAATGTTTTGTAAAAGATATGTTCATTTAATTTCAACATTTTCCTAATGTTCTTGTGCTTCTTTATACCAAAACAAAGGAAAGACATATTGTTTTGGTTATTTCTAGCAAAGTATGGTATCATTTTAATGGTCCGGCCCACTTGACATCTACCCAGGCCGTATGCGGCCCACCATGTGAAATGAGTTTGACACCCCTGGTTTATATAAAGAAGATATAGTATAGTACCCTTAAATTACTGACAAGTTTACCCCATAATAAAGCTTGAAGACTTCCAACTACAAATACAGTACCGTATTTTCCGCACTATAAGGCGCACCGAAAAGTCTTCCATTTTCTTAAAAGCTGTGCGCCTTAAAATCCGGTGCACCTTATGTATGGTCATTACCGTAATATGTCGAGCCCAAGATGGCTCCTTGCCGGAGACATGCTTACAATGTTATAAGTTGCTGTTGGTTCAGTGAACTGTGTCGCTGCTTTATTAAATAAGTTTTTGTTGGAGCTCCGAAAAAAGGAGCGCTGTGGTGGTGTTTTTTTCAAAACGCACACTTTATTAATGGTTTTCACAGTCTCAACAAATACAGGTACGTCTTTGTCCGTCTCTTCTTCCGTTACACTCGAGAGGCGTTCATGACCGCCTCGGAAAAACGTAAATTAACGATTCCTTCAATGAAACTATGAAAATTGAAAATAATGCATCAAAACAGAAAATCAAGCGAGGAAATCACAAAATAAATTCTATGGCCCCACTACAGAATTTATTTTGTGATTTCCTCGTTTGTGAATACAGTACACAACAAAGGAATAAATAACAAACACTTCTGAGACAGTCCAGTCTCCTCCAATTTACTGACATCTGAACGTTCTGTTGCAGCTACGCTCAAGGAAATGCCCGAATAAATTCTGTCGGGGGGGCTACAGAATTTATTTTGTGATTTTCTGTTTTGATGAATTACTGTATTTTCAATTTTCGTAGTTTCACTGAAGTAATCGTTAATTTACGTTTTTTTGGAGGTGGTCATGAACGCCTCTCGAGTCTAACGGAAGAAGAGAAGGCACGGAGAGATGGACAAACACGTACCTGTAGCTCTAGTGGATGCATTGTAGATTGCACCTTATAGTCAAGTGCGTGCAATATATGAAAAAAATTACAAAATAGGCCATTCATTGAAGGTGCGCCTCATAATCCAGTGCGCCTTTTAGTGAGGAATAGACGGTACTTTAATTGTACACATTTTTAGTTTCTTTCAACTTTCTCTGACATTGAGGCCCCACTGATTCTCAAGAATTCCTGTCATTCTTGAAATTAGTTGTGCAAGATTTATGTTGAGTAAAGCTAATTTGATTTGTCGATGGTGAGGATCATGAGACTGCAGTCGGACTCTTCCACTTCATGTGACTTCAACTTGACATTCACATCCTTTGAAATGATTTCACGTCCTCGTTTGTCATTTTCTTTTAATGGAAGGCAACGTTGGTCATGCTGTGACCAAATTTATGGCTTTTGTTTCGTGGTTCAGAATTCCAACGAATCTGCCAAACAATAATGGCCAAGTATGGACCACAACTTTGTACAATCAGCGCAAAAATGACAATGCTCCTCATTCACAGCTTATGCGTATGCTACGTACTGTATACCAATAAACCCTGCGAGCCAGATCAAATTCTGTTATTTAAAAAAAAAAAAAAAAAAAAAAAAGGGTGAATTCAATTAGAATTCCTCATTCCTTTTCAGAATGGAAGAACATCAAGCTCTGCAGCATGTGGTAAACTTGTCAGCGAGAGTCAGCATGCAAGGCACATTGTAAACACAGTGCGGTAGAGGGGTGGAGTTGACCTTTGATACAAGTGCTCACCGCGTCACCTACAGGACAAATGGGGCGAGAAGCCCTCTGCCATGTTGCCCAACACCACATTACGGAATGAGTTGAGTGCAATGCGATGTGAAAAATCCCACAAAATAATAATAATGGGGGGAAAAAAAAAACTCCCAGCTTTGACATATGCAGCAAGTTAAGAACCACCAGCACCAGCCTCCACCAAACTTCAGTCGTTAAAATGAATCATGTGGAGAGACAAGTTACACAAGGGACCTCGAGAATTTCACAGCTCAGAGCTGGAGCACCAGGAAATGAGCCGGGATCCTTGGGAACTGCAGGAACAAATCAGTCTCTCACACGTTCTCTATTCAATGACTTCCTCCCTCGTTCACATGAGCAGCTGTTTGAGCTCACTCAGTTTATGCTCAAGCAGCTGCCCAAATCACAGGTCCCCAGACATGACAATAGGCGTAGAAATGAAGGGTTTGCTCCACATCTGGGTCAGCAACTGGCATGTCAAAAGAAAAGAACGCTGACTATCCATTTGCATCATCAAGTGAGTGGCAACTACAACCTGTTTGCATTGTGAGGATGGTAAAGTTTCCATCATCACACTGGGGCAATTGTTCGGAAAGCGCAAATTGAACCTCGGAAGAGAGAGTATTTTTTTTTTTTTTTCAATACTTGTAGATCCCTACAGGAATGTGCTCTTTTCGTCGCCATGGAGAGGGAAACAGCGATTCATACTATTGCAGAACAAAGCTTACCACTCAATGGATGGGTTTACAGCCGCTTCCCTCCCTGCCCCCCTCCCTTGCTGTGAAAGGATTAAATAAATCACGGCTAGTCAGGACCCAGGACCATGACACCCCTACCACCATCTTTCAGTGTCGACCAAACAGACAAACAGCTGGACCTCATCCAGACACAGGATACGTTAAGGAGCTTTTAGAAATGCTCCAGTAACCTGGCTCATCCCTGAAGTCATTTGCATATACCTTTAGGGGACCAAGACAGAGAACTGAAAGCTGGGAACAGAAGTTGGTTCTCTCCCGTGAATACCGATTTCAAAGTAGAGACGCATTTACTATATTCAGCAACATTCGGGTTTTCGTCTCTTATATACAAATTGCATTTGATAATTCCCTGGAAGAATTATTCTGTCAAACCTAAAATATATAGTATGCATAAAAGATGTCTATTTTCTCATGGACTTACATATACCATTATGATGCAACAACCAGATGGGATGAAGAGTTTAATTTACCACTTGATACAAAATGTTTTTGGAAGGTCACAAACATTTATGGGTATGTGGAGCATCATTAGGTTGATTTCTGTTATGGTGGAACTTCCAATTTTGAACCTAAAGATTGTACAATTTAGAATTGAACTAGCATTTCTATATGCTCACTCACTATAATTTAGATTGAACCATCATTGTGTATGACACTAAGAGAGGTACCATTAAATCTGACTTGGTCTTGTTGGCAAATTATGCACGCGGTCAGATGTTTGGTACGCACATCTCTGTCAGGGCTTCTCAGTATAATTTGAGCACAATAATGAAAAAAAGAGGAATGCTCCCCACAGTATGAGTTGCACTTGCTTACACGAAGGAACTTGCATAGTCAGCACTTAAAAGGGTAAATGTACAGTACACGTCTTCTTTTTAAAATGATTATACTGCTTGTATAACTACTTGTGTAATTATACACTTGTGTAACAGTTGTGGTTGTTGAAATATCAACTCAACCCGTACAGTTAATAAAGGTTTTATGATCAAGAAAGTTTGACTCTAGACCAGATTAATGAGATGTAAAGCGGTGCCTTGAGATATGAGTGCCTTGACCTGAAACATTTTCAAGACATGAGACATCACTTGACCAATTTTCTTTTTTTGTTATGTGACATGAGCTAAATTTGAGATACAAATGCGCTTCCGACACACACTGCGACAAGGCGGCCACACCCAGTCACCATCAATTCACATTGGTTTCTTTAAAGTGGAAGGACAATATCAGTTGGTGGCTGTATACAGCTGGAGGCTGTATACAGTTGATGGTGCCGTAAAGATGGTTTGCTAACTGTCAATAGACCCCACACAAGAAGAAGAAGAAGAAGAAGGAAAGCCAATTCATTAGTTATCGTCATGTTTTGTGTTTGTGTTATCCATGTTTGAAGGTTATGTGGAGAGGAAATGTTAGCACTCATCTTATGAAAAAACATGTAATAAATTAATTTTGGGTGGGCTTGGTGGGGTCTGGAACGGATTAATTGCACGTCCATTTATTTCCCTGGGGAGAGATGATTTGAGACTGGGACAGAGGGGGGTGTTGACCAGTGTTGCGGAATCGATTGCAGTCAAATTTACAGTTTCCACTGTATTTTTAACTCCATACAAACTATGTGTTATGAGAGTTGCACAAAATAAACATTGCTGTCGGGTTGGAGTTAGTTTCGGGCAGCACACCAAGAGGCTTTTCTACCTGAACTTAGGCTGTAGTGGTTAAGCGGGTCGGCCACCCATGCATTGTCCTGTATTACACTCTCCATCTCCAAATCTGCATGCATCCCGATGAACGGATGGACCAACAGAAAGATGGACGGATGGATGGAGACATGAGAGAAGCAGCAGAGGGAGAGAAGCACTTGACGTTAGAAAAAAAAAAACAGCCATCGTTTACTCAAGTCTTAGATTCCAACAATGTCATTGTATCCAATATTAAGTTAAATCTGACAAACTGCAATGCAATCACAGTTTATATGTCTAAGTGCGCTAGTGAGGGAGGAATGCATGGAGCAGGACGAAGCAATTTTATACCAACACGCACAGGGAGGGAAGAGACTCCATGAAGCGGGCGGCAGGCCAGAGCACGGGGACGCTGAGGCAGAGGAGTCAGAGTCAAATGCGACATATCAAGACACATGCAAGTTACCCACATACATACGGCTCAATCGTGTGCGATGAGACATCGGTATTCAGGATGCATCAAAGCAGTGAGAACAAGCAATGCGGGCTGTAATGCAGTGCAATATTCGTTGTGCATCGGACAATGAATGACAATGACAATCAAGCCTTGGTCAGCCCATTAATCATAAAATTGCTTTTGACAGCCGCGGAGTTTCAAAAACTAAACCTTAAATAGTGGCTATCTGTATTAAAAAAAAACCCAAAAATCAAATATCTGAGCAATCAGAGGAAAAAACAACAACTATTTTGATTAATATTAAAATATTCTCAATCGTGGATGAAGTGGCAAATTGTGGAAATAAATGTGCAAGTAACCCAGACAAGCAGTGTGCACCAAAGTGGGAGAATGTACAGGTATATCAATTAAAATATTAACATGTGGTCGTCCATGTGCTACAACGGATTACAATATCATGAGAAGTATTTATTATCCATCTGATCGGTCAGGTGCTTCAGGCACCGGAAAATCCGGAAACTAGCAATTTGTAGCATTGGTGGTCTTATTTTTTTCTTTTTTTTTACAGCATTATCATTTTGTCATGACATCAGATGGTTAGCATCTGGCTCCAAGTCTCATTCCAAGGCCGGCCAGATTCTTGTGAATGAAAGTCATCATCAATGAATCAGTCTTTGGCGTTGAAATTTGTATGCGAGTTCCCAAATGTTCAATCACAAACGTTATGTTATTAGGATTTGTAACGTATGGATTTGTATATCTCAGTAATAGTTTAACATACCTATTGGCTTGTGTATATTCAAATTAGGTATACCATACATTCATAGAATTCTGAGTCAAAAACTGTTGAAATAAACCAAGGGTTTGCCTGAGGCATAACACACACACACACACACACACACACACACACACACACACACACACACACACACGCACATATACAAACGCATCCTGAACTACTTCCAGAAAACGCAGCCCTTATCTCGCAACTGTCATCAACGATTATTCCCTTCTGACAACATTTCACTAAATGGTTTGAACGTTAAGGAGAGCAGTACCTGGCTTGGGCACAGAGTTGGTCATGGACTGTGGCACTTTATCATTTATGAGCTCCACACACTCACTGGGAAAGTAGCCAACCTGGAGGGAGTGGGAGAAAATATCAAACAAACCAGAATTAAAATTAGTCTTGGAGCACAAAGACTGCAGATCTCCACTGAGGCCCAACACCCGTGTCCTATAGGAAGCACTTTTTGTAGATTGGAGATCTTATATGCATCATAGCTGCAACAAAAATATGAATTAACTCATAAAGACCCACAACAATTCATTTCAAAATGTTTCCAGTTGAGTTGCGTACTCATTTAAAAAGTTAAACATTAAAAAAAAAAAAAAAAAAAAAAAAAAAGGTTTGGAACTCCGTTCAAACATAATACTTTTTGTTTTGCTTACCCAATTTCTGTTTTTGGTTTATTTACCCTTCATTTACATGTAACCAGCAGAGGAACTAACCACTAATGAATGAATTCAAATAGACATAAATCACAATTATTGAATTTTAGTTTCTCAACTGCCAAATGTACTTCCAGCAAAATCAACACATATGAGCCATGTTCAGATCATTCCAAAAATGTTTAGCTTCAACCAAGTTGAGCGAAGGTACAGTATAACGCCAACGCTGTCCATGTTCACCAGCAGTATATTTCCATACATAAACCACGCATGAGCTATAAAGGTCAAGTGTGAAGTCATTTTAGAAAATCTCAAATCAAATATTTCTATGTCACTTATCTGAGGGGTGTTTGAAGAGATGTATGTTGGACCGAACATGTACGAGCCAGATGCTCAGGATGCGGAAAATGTGCCCCAACGGCTGGACATGGAATGGAGACGAGACCCCTAGGGACTGGAAATATGCGAGGCTATATAGGCTGCGGTTATTAGCCTAGCGCTATTGTTTGCAATTCGATGCTGCGCCGTGCTGTAAGTTGTGCACGATGGGTTTAGCTACTTGGTCCAAGCATTCCCGCTAGTATTGAGAGCACATATTTTAGTGGATTGGTGTCCTGCATTGTCATTGCTAACGTCGTTCAGTTACGTTGTCGGCCACTCCACACATTATATCGTCAGCATTGTTAGTCGCAAACCGTTACAAAGGATTCCATCCATGCACTCATATAATATTTTGAATCAAAAGTTTTCATAAACAACAGCCAGAGTTATTCATTGATTATCACACCTGCCATTTTTGCAAATCCGGTTGAGAAAACAGAGGTTTTTGAAGTGCTGGTAACAAAGAACGTTCGTCAACACCGGCGTGAAATTAATTCGCTTAGCCAGAATGAACACTGTATCATTTCAATTTTCTGGTCCATTTATGTGCCCTATTCTTTTCTTTTGGCCACTCAAACCACTGTTTGCTTGAATATGAACAGTGCATCGCCACACAGCGTCTATGGGTTTCGCCGAATAACTCGAAACCAATGGCAAAGAGCATTAACTGGACAATCAACAATGCAGTTCGATGGCTTGCTGCCGACTCGGAATTCTATAAACCACATCACTCACCAATGATTGACGAACAAAAGCATTTTCGTTGCTCAGCGCGTTGATATATCGAGCTGTGATGATCTAGCTATGAACCTGGGTGGTTGCGTTAAAAAAAAAAAAACGCAAGTATGCTTGAAATAGTTTTAACTCGAAGTATTACTCAAAAGATGGTTGGCTAAGTTTACTTCACACCGGCTGGACATGGAATGGAGACGAGACCCCTAGGGACTGGAAATATGCGAGGCTATATAGGCTGCGGTTATTAGCCTAGCGCTATTGTTTGCAATTCGATGCTGCGCCGTGCTGTAAGTTGTGCACGATGGGTTTAGCTACTTGGTCCAAGCATTCCCGCTAGTATTGAGAGCACATATTTTAGTGGATTGGTGTCCTGCATTGTCATTGCTAACGTCGTTCAGTTACGTTGTCGGCCACTCCACACATTATATCGTCAGCATTGTTAGTCGCAAACCGTTACAAAGGATTCCATCCATGCACTCATATAATATTTTGAATCAAAAGTTTTCATAAACAACAGCCAGAGTTATTCATTGATTATCACACCTGCCATTTTTGCAAATCCGGTTGAGAAAACAGAGGTTTTTGAAGTGCTGGTAACAAAGAACGTTCGTCAACACCGGCGTGAAATTAATTCGCTTAGCCAGAATGAACACTGTATCATTTCAATTTTCTGGTCCATTTATGTGCCCTATTCTTTTCTTTTGGCCACTCAAACCACTGTTTGCTTGAATATGAACAGTGCATCGCCACACAGCGTCTATGGGTTTCGCCGAATAACTCGAAACCAATGGCAAAGAGCATTAACTGGACAATCAACAATGCAGTTCGATGGCTTGCTGCCGACTCGGAATTCTATAAACCACATCACTCACCAATGATTGACGAACAAAAGCATTTTCGTTGCTCAGCGCGTTGATATATCGAGCTGTGATGATCTAGCTATGAACCTGGGTGGTTGCGTTAAAAAAAAAAAAACGCAAGTATGCTTGAAATAGTTTTAACTCGAAGTATTACTCAAAAGATGGTTGGCTAAGTTTACTTCACACTTGAATTAAACTGACAAGACAAAGCTCTCTGTAGATTCTTGCCAACCAACCACGCTTCAGGAATAGCATCGAACTAATGAGAAACTTCCTGTTGCCTGTAACCCCGGGAGTGCGTTAGAATGTCAGACTTCTTGAAGGCAAAGAGCCAAGTATGTTCAAAAAGGGCAGTGCAGAGAAAGTGGGGCAGAGGGTGAGAGAAAGTTCAGACATGGTTTTAAAAAGGGTTCATGACTGCACAGGGATCTTCAATATAAAAGAGTACACTGGGTTCAGTCATTTATATGTAGGCTTGACTGTCTTTTACATAAACATTTATGGTTTGACTATTTTTGTTTTTGGGGTTTTTTTTAGGCAGGTTTGACCACTATCTTCCAGTTAGGAATGGGTTGGTGACCAGTTTCAATGTACAGTATACCATGGGTTTAAATGTCAATTTCAAAACAGGTAGAAAGCATGCATCCACAAATAAATTGGCCAAAGTTGATGTATACTAACACTAAACTCACTTAAAAGTAAACAATAGGGAGATTTTGTAGAAGCCAGGGCCTGATGTTTTGCTCTCTTACCGGGTCAAGTGCCTCTCGCACCCATTTAGGCTACTCCGATGGCCCACAGTGGACGTGGGGACTTAAAAAAAAAAAAAATAAATAATAAAAGATCCAACTGCGACTGTCCTGCTCACCTGGTATTCTTATCCCACAATAATTGCGTACGTAATATATTCAATCACTGCTTAGTGATGTGTTGACAGAACAAGCTGTGCTAAGCTACGTATGTTAGCTGGAGAAGCTATCACGTGCTCCGAGACAAGTTTCACCAGTCACAGCAATTTAGTGGAATACGCTTTGCTCCTGTAAAGTTGTGATGGGACGTACGTACTTTAATACGGTACACAAACACAGAAGTATGTTTACAAAATTAACGTATTTTCCACACTATGAGGTGATTCGGATTATAAGGCGCACCTTAAATGAATGGCCTATTTTAAAATGGTTTTCAAATATAAGGCGCATCACATTATAGGGTGCATAGAATAGCAGCTACAATAGTGGCTCGAGTTGCTTTATGACTCCAAGAGATGCGGCTATGCTAAAGGGTTTAATCAGCTTTATTTATATAGAGCTTTCACATCCGCTGCAGCTTTAACAAAGTGCTGAACATCAGAACATTTAACTCATTGAATACCACCCTTTTTCACTGGAGCAACCCCCTCAATCCCTCACATTTTACTGAATTTTGACTGATTTGCAAGGCCCACATAATTTTCTGTTCTACGGCTATATAAACGTGCGACCAGTCAGAAGAAAGTTGAGACTCTCTTCTTTCAGCAGAAAAAAAGTTTGTTTCTATCTTTCTCCGTTCGTTCGTAATCAGCATAGAAAATTGCCAAGTTTTATGGCCGGTTTTCTTCAGAAAATTAGCTTTTTGTAAAAGCATGCATTTCGAGCATAATTTCAAGTTTGACACTATTTTTTGCATTTGTGACAGCTCAAATACCTGAATAATGTGTTCCTCCTACAAAACAACATTACAAAAAATGTTTTTAGAGCAAAATAATTTATTTGCACACAACAAAACTATTGAACTATGAACAAGTGCAAATTGAACAATGGTGGACTTTTGCACCACTGCCGCCTGCTGGCCATTTTTTTACTATTACTACAGTGCAGTCAAGCCAAAGGGTTTGAGTGAGTTAAAATACTATATCCAAGAAATCAGATTACTGATCCATATATCAGGCCGATCGGATTAAACAGCGAAGTGTCGGCTTTTGAGAAAATTGAATGCTTTTAGGTGCACCTTATAGTGTGGAAAATACGGTAACCCCCCCACCCACCTCAAGAAAAACCTCCCCATAAAATGTGTACACATTGTACTTTGTATACAGTAATGTGATTCAATCAAATTTAATGAGGCATTGATTGTTTTTTGTACACATATAGGCAGCAGAATACCAACAACAAATTAAACTGTACGGGTTTGCTGAGTGACAGGTAAGCGCGTATGGAGTTTAGAAGAAGCCTTTCAATTCTTGATATATCAACTGCCACAAGTTCAGAACGCCAATGACTACGACTTTGAATTTCTGGAGCATTCACATGACAAATGATGTCTTGAGATGGTACCAGCATGAAATGGTACCCAGCAACCTGAATATTCACTGCATGTATGTAAAGGTAGCCTATGATGATGTTTTGAATGGCACACCTGAAAGCCATGCTTCCCCCTCCACCATGTGGTGTCTTCTTTCGGAGGCATGTCAATCACTGACACAATGTCACCAACCTGGAGAGAAGAGGAAATAGGTTTTTGTCACTTTGTAAAAAATCCAGTACGATATTTCCACAATAATTGCTTTAAAACGACTAGATTTTCAGGCTTGCGATCCAGCTTTAGTTTCAGCTGTTAGTTGAGCATTTTTACCGGAAGAGCCAACTAGTTTCCAGTATTTTTTTTCCCTCTTGATCACTGTATAAAGTTGAATGGAATGCATTCTCTCTGTGTACTGTCAGAAAGTCTGCAAGAGAGATTGGGAGCGTATTGGTGTCACCTCAAAGGAAAGCTCGTCTGAAGCCTGTGCAATGTAGCGTTTGATGACATGGGCAGCTGCAATTGCGGGCACGTTGATGGATGACTCTTCGTGAACCAAAAGATGATTTCCTTTATTGTCAACCTGGAAAAAAAAAACAAAAAAAAACCCATCAATGCTACGGGGCTCAGTTGAATCATTGTGATGCTTACACGACTGATTCAAAACGTTACAAGTGAAGAAATGCAAAACAGCAAAACATGCAACAGATTTACAGTCATTTTATGACTTTAAAATAGAAATGCGAAGCAGATGAAGGAATCAAAAGGCATTCAACATGTTCATCAGCACTGAGTATGTTGTCTGTTTGAGAGGGAAATAATTTCATCTGTGCTGTATGTTGCAAATACTGCACATTTGACAGTAATAAGTACCGAATTGGCCCGGATATAAGACGGCCCTGATTATAAGACAACACCCTCTTTTTCAAGACTCAAGTTTGAAAAAAGACTTTTTGAACACCAAATTAATTTTTATACAGAAAATAATTACAGTATATCTGAAACAAATGAACAATATATTTGAGAGAAAAAGCATGTTATTTTGCCTCATTCAAATCTTAATATCTGAACATTTAAATATGTAAACTAAAGTGCAATCACATTCGTAAATGAATGGCTTCTGGTTTTTGAAATGTACATTGCATCGTAACTTCTCCTCAGCTGGCGGTTAACCTGGCTGATCTTCGACCCACTTTTCTCCAGATTGTCGCTATGTTTCTCCATTTTCTGTTATCTTTTCTATTATTTTCTTCTCTTTTCTTTTTTAACACTATTTTTTATTTTCTTCTTCGTGGTACCGCTATTTTTATTTTTATTCTTCGTGACAGGGGTTCACTTTGGCCTGGGGAGTCAAGTTCAGCATTTGCTTCAATGATATCTGGCGCCATCTAGCGTCGTGAATGGGTATAATGTCTAGACCCCGAATATAAGACGGCCCCCAATTTTTCAGTCTTATTTCAATGCAAAAAACACCGTCTTATATTCGGGCCAATACGGTACTAGAGCTACGATTACCAACCACTGTACCGTATTTTCCGCACTATAAGGCACACCTAATAGCATTCAGTTTTCTCAAAAGCCAACAGTGCGCCCTATAATGCGTTTATTTGTAGTTACAGTAAATATTCCCATCCCCGGAATTCTATGAAAAGGAATATCCTTCACCCGGAACAAAAGCCTGTGCATTAACATTTTGACTGCGATATTACATGTTACCGGAACTTACGTAAGCGGAAATTCCACTACCCGTAACCCGGATTGAGACGTCATGCCGCGGGAGCTTAAATACACGCAACGCCCACCCGATGCTACGGAACGACGACACCGAGACACATTTTCACTTCGCGTTTTTCAACAATCAGATTCGAAAGGACGACGTGTAAGTGAGTTTTTATTGGCGTGCGTTTGACTGCAATTGCGAAAGATTTTAACTTTATTCACTTACGTCGTGTAGATCATAGCATCGAAACGCAGAAGAGCTGTCATGACTGGAGCGGAGTGAGTGAAATGCATCCGTTTGAGCGAGGCTGGACACAAAGAAAAAGCATCCAGCAGGCACTTGGAGTCGGAAAGACGCAAATCTACGAAACTTTAAAAAACAAGGCATCGATTCAACTCCTGATGACAAGCCACCATCCAGCGAGGAAGCAATGCAAATGGCAACAAATCGATCAGTATGCACAAGAATTACCAGACATCGGTGATCAACGGGACAGTTACTTGCAACTAGCACGAAAACTATGACACGCAGGCAAACATTGTCATAAACCAAAGAATGCATCCAACCAAACAATCCAAAATAGACACATTTTTTCCCAAGACAGAAAAAAAAAATAAACATTAAAATACTGTACGTATTTTACTGTTGTGATTTTTTTTGGATACATCTGTATTGCAGTTTTTGTTATATAAAGTTTTTGGACAGTATATTTTTGTATTTTATTGATTGTGTTGTTACACGTGCAATTTTGTCAACATACTTGCAGGTTCATAAAGGACATGTACCATGCTCATTTCCCAAATGAGGAATTTCTATTATCAGGACAAATTGGACAGCGCAAAAACGAAACCGCACTAGAGAATATTTACTGTATATGTTTCATGTCCGTGTTTGTCACCAGTTCTCATGGCTTGGTTGGTTGTGAAGGCTCTATATAAATAAAGCTGTTTTGTATTGTATTATCTTTGACGGAGCACCATCTAGTGGATGCATAGTGCAACCACAGCCACTATTGTAGCTTCTATTCTATGCACCTTACAATGCAGTGCACCCTATACATGAAAACAGTTTTAAAATAGGCCATTCATTGAAGGTGCGCCTGATAATCTGAAGCGCCTTATAGTGCACAACGGTAATTGACATTAATCGATCATCATTTTCATCAAGAACTATTTTTGACAATTGATAAATTGTTTAGATTCTTTTTTTAATGAGAACTGTCCAAACGCTCAAAAGTTCAGTTTCTGAACAGAAAATGTTCGCTGATTTTTGTCATCTTTCATGAAAGCAGACTGATTATTTTTGTATTTAATCAAAATGCATTTGCTTTTACTTTGGAAACTGATCAACAATTTTGTCTATTTTCTGAAAAGTTAATACCCTTCTGCACGGTCAACTTGAAATAATGTCTTGTTTTTGTCATGATTCCGTTCTGTTTAGTCCCCAACAGGTGACAGCGGGGTTCCGGTCTTTTCTGCTGCGCACCTGTCCCTCATTTGAACGCAGACTATTTGAGGACATCTCGCACGACAACTGATTGTCGGATAATTCACCTTGCTCATGTTATTCGTTCAAGTGCAGTTTTCTTGAAGTTCTTGATATTGCTCCGTATTCTCATTCTCCATTCTTGGTTCTCCGTTTTCCATAAGTAGTTTGCCTATGTTTAATATTACTCTCGGTTTTAGTATTTCCACGATTGGTTCATCTTGTCCTTTGTTGACAAGCTATTTTCGGTGATATTTTTCCCTTGCCTTCTGGCAAGTGCTTTTGGTTTCTCTCATTTTCCCCTGGTGTGTCTACCAGCGTCATTAATTGTACTTTGTTGGCTTTGCGCCATTTTTGCTGTAAATAAATATTTTTGTATACCTTTGTCTGAGTTTATGTTTGTAGAGTCTAATTCTGTTCCGGAACCTTATCAGTTTTTGAATAAAGGGATGGAAATTAAAACATGATTTTAACCCAATTCATCAATTAATTGACAAAATAATCAAAATATTAATTGATTATTGAAATAGACTTCAGTTGTAGCCCTAGTAATTCTTTAAAAAAATATATAATGTTTTTCTTTCAGAGAAACATAACTCGTAACCTGCTTTCACTACATATCAGTAGGACTTGCATAACAAATCCAAGTGCCTGTGTTCAATTATACATGCACAGAAGAGTAGATGAAAGATGATCCACCCACGACAGGGGGTTTTCAGCCAGTTCAACCATGTATCTTTTTTTTTCTTTCGACAAAAGACGCGCAATTATCAGAAAAAAATGTGCATCCGAGAGACAAAAAGCAACAATGTAACAAGAGGTATCTTCTTCAAAGTGTCTCTCTGCCTCTCCCTGCCACTACGGGATGGTCGCTGATAGTGTACCACCAAGACGAACGCATAATTAAATCACATCAATATCATCATGTGCATACAGTCTCTGGCACCATTATTAGACCAAAAAATACATTTCCACGTGAGACTCAAATGGGTGCACGGTGGTCAAGTTAGATGGTGAAAGCTCAGAGCTAACTGAGTATGTAAACTAAGATCAAATAAT